CTCTCCAACGGCCCGTCCAACATGATCTCTCCCCCTCTAATGGCGCTGATGACGGGCGCCGGCGCGGCCGTCCTCGGGGCCGTCAGTGCGCCGTCCTGCTCTGGGGTCCCGTGGTCGAAGTAGACCGTGTCCGCCTGGTTCATTGGGCCGTGCTCCTGGGGCTGCTCGATCAGCCTCGCTTGCGCGCCGCCGGCCATCTCCATGCCGCCCTTCGCGATAATGGGGCGGGGCGGGAAGATGATGGCGCGGTGCCCCCGTGCGTCGGTGCCCTTCTCTGATCACTTGCGGCCGCGCTTCTTGCTCGCGCGCCTCCAGCGTCGTCCGTCGACGGCGCCGCCTGGTTCGCTCGCCTGCGCTGGCGCGCCACAGCGCGCCCAATTCTTCGGCTTTGAGGGGCCGTCTCGCAGCGCGGGGGCGCGCGCGCGCGGCGCGGTTGCCCCCCGCCCCTGAGGCCGACCGCGCAGTCAGCCGCCGCTCCCAGACGCTCGTCCTTTCCAAGACTTCCTCGTGCAACTCCTTCCACCGAGCATTCGGCACCGCTGAACTGACATTGTGCTTCGCGTGCGCCGCCTCTATGGCGAGCTGGGTTGACTTGGTCTGCTGCGGTGGCGACTCCTTCTTCTACTTGCCCCTCAGGTTGAGGCTTGAACCATCTGGGGGCCCTGGCCAGATCCAGACATTCGTGCCGTGGCACCCCGCAGTTGCGGATGAGAGTGAAGGGGCGTCTGGGGCGTCGGCAGTCTCCGAGGCCCCGGAGAAACCGGCCGTGGGCGCCCAATTTCCAGAAGCTACGCAGGCGCCGATCTTTTCGTCTAGGCAATGTTGGTGGGTCCTGGGTTGCTCGCGCGCGGGTCGCGGGTTGGTCGCGGGCGGGTCGCGGGCGTTGTCGCGGGTGGCTCGCGCGCGGGCCACGGGCGGGTCGCAGGTGGGTCGCGGGCGCGGGCGGGTTCGCGGGCTGGGTCGCGGGGGGGGCCGCGGCGACGACGGCGCGCCAACATGCGCGGAATCCACGCCGCGGAATCCCGCATCACCCGCGTGCCCAAGGGCCGTGCGTGACCGTTCGGCCATTCCGCTCTGGTCACCGCCCTGCTTGCTCCCGTGGCACCTGAGGCGCGCCTGGCGCTGCGCCTCCGGGCGCGGAGCGGGCGCGCCCTCAGATCCATCGCCTAGCCCTGGGCCTCCATTCGCCGCCCTGAACATATTTTTGGGGGCCCGGGCACCAGTTTCAAAGATCTCCCGGGGCTTGTCGCGCACCCGTCGGGCTTCGCCAAGTCGCGGCGCGCGAATGATCCGAGAAGGCCCCATGGGCCCCCGGAGACGGTCCAAGAGGGCTCCGGGTCGCCGAGCGATCGCTCAAGGCGCTCACGATGGCCCCCAGGCGGCCCAAGAGGTCCCAGACGCCCCAAGAGGCCTCTAAGAGGCCTCCCAAGAGGGCGCCAAGAGGCCGAATTATTTGACATTTGTCAGAATTTGGAACGAATTTTGCGTTTTCGCCCCCCCCGACACCCGACGCTCCGAGCCCCGGGATGGCCGACGAGGCCTCCGAGAGGGGGGGGCGCGGCGCAGCCCGGGAGCGCCCCGAGACGCCCCTGGCGGCGCCCGCAGACGGCCCAGCGGGGCCCCGATGCGGCGTCAAAATGGCCCCGAAGGAACGCGGGCCAAATATCTGAGCCTTCCGCCCCGAAGTCCCCAGGAATCTCTCAGAAGCGCCGGGGGGGGCCCGCGAGGGGGGCGCCCGGGAGTGTCCGGCGAGGCCCCGAAGCCCCATGCGGCCCCGAAGCGGCCTCCAAAAAGCTTCCAGACTGCCTCCAAGATGCCCCCGAGAGGCCACCCACGATGTCCCAGCGAACATTCAATATGCGTTCGGGGCCCTGCTGACGGACGTTTTCGGGCACTCGACGCCCGTGACCTCGGCCGCGCGCTCGCGCGTGGCGGCAGAGGCGGCGCCCTGCAGCCGCGGGGCTTCGGCGCTCTCGTGGGCCAAGGCGAAAAGCAGTGCGACGATCGGGCTCTTCCTCGCAGAAGTGGCGCGCGGCTGATTTGGTCGCGACGCAATCAGTGGCCGCCCGCGAACTGGCGCGCGCCGTCTGCTTCCCTGACGAAGGGCGCGGCCGCGATCGCACGGGTCGCGGGTCCCCCCCCTGGGCCTCCTGCCGGCCCTCCTCGCCCGATTGCGAGCTCGGCGACAGGAGTCGGGCGGCCTGGCGGGCTGACCCCCGCCCTGGGGGGTCGCGCGGAGCGCTGCCGCGCGCTCTCCGCCTCGGCGCCTGGCCCCCGCCCCGGATTGTCGCGCGGCGCGCTGCCGCGCGCCCGGGGCGTCATGAACGCTGCCGCGCGCTCTCGACCCGCTTCCGCGGCCCTCCGCCTCGGCCTCGTCTGCCTTCCTCCTGCGTGGCGGCGCGGCGGGCGCTAGAGAGGAGGGACTTCTCGTTTCGCCGCGACGCGGCGTCGCGGGCGCAGGCTCGGCGGCCCGCAGCAGCGCTCAGCGGTTATTCAGAGACGGCCGAGCGCCTGAGTCCACGTGGCCACAGACGTCGGGCAAAGAACAACATGCGCATTCTCGCGCCAAAAGGAATCTTTTGCAAACTATCTGAAGGTATTCCAACAATTTCCGGGCCCGCGGCGGGGCTCGCGACGCGGCCCGGCAGCGCCAGTCCTCGAGATCGTCGCGGTTGCTCCTGGCAGCGTCTGCTTTCGCAGCGCCTTCGAAGTGCCATTCGGGGCGTTCGAAATCCACTCGGTGGAATTCCGCGGTTGGCCGCTGGCGCGAAGGATCTTTCGAAGCGCGTCGCGCTCATCACTGATGGGGCGCGGCAGTGCTGGCCTCCGCAAGTGCGTTGGCTCCCCCGCGGGCGCCCCGCGCACCGACGCTCATTCTAGCCGAAGGTCACTATTGACGTGTGGTCGGCCCTTGCCTGCGACGCGCTCGCTGGCAGTCGTGGATGTCCGGCTCCCATGATTCAGCGAATCATGTGGACCTGTCGTGCGGTTGTGCGGCTGCTCGTCTGGCCCGCCGCCACTTGCGCCTGAAGTATATTTTCGTCCACGCTTCCATGTTGTTCCGTGACGCAATGTCTGTTACTATGTGCCAAGCTCTGCCTGTGGGGTCCTCCCAGATTTCCACGCCGTCGTCACCATCATCGGGATGTGGCCGCTGTTTGCTGTCGTCAGAACTTGTGTCGGTTCTGCTTCCGTCGTCGAAGCAAGGCTTGCCGTCGGAACGGTTAAAGCTTCCGGTTGCGGTGCTGTGGTGTCCGATTCGATGCCTCGGGGTCCTCACGACAACTCGTGGCATCCATCGCTGGGTGCGCCCCAATGTTTGGTGGGGTGCGTCCCGGAGGTAAAACCGCACATAACTGCTGGCGTAATGCATAATGGTCAGGTCAACATTGAGAATTTCAGCGCCGTCGCATGTTTACGTCGTTGGTCCGCCCCTGTCGTCTGCCAGCGTTGGTGCGCATTTGGGTGTTGCCAGGATGTAGCGCCCGCCCGCATTTAGATGTTTCTTCCCTGAGGTCCCGGGGATGACGTTCAATTGTCGTAAGCTCGGTGCAAAGAGAAGCACGTCGTCGGCAAAACGCAAAATGGTGAGTAGCGTCAGCTGAATACCAAGTCCCCCTGCATTCCCAATCACCCCAAGAAAGTTCGACATGTCGGAAAACGTACTCGAACACAGCGTTGAAACAGGTATGTCCTGATTGCGTAACTTTGCTTGATTTTGCGTTGGCTCGTGAATTCTCTGTTGCTGACGTCAGTCCTCACTACGGCGACACGCTAGCAATAACAATTATGCCATAAAAAGCAAGTGCAGCTTCAGTACGTACTGCAATCGGAGTTCCCTTCAGGGGTGTTAGTTGTCGACGTTATCGGATGCCGTCCTAAAGTCGATCACGGCGGACCGCAATAGGATGGCCGCTCGTAGGACTGTTCGTGCAATGGTGTCGCGGTGAACATATGGACTTCCGTACAGCTTCTTTCTCCGGTAACCAGCTCGGAACGACGTTCGCTCGGACTGTAGGTTCGTCTCCCGTCGGCTGCACAATCATCGACAAATACAATGTGCATAGTAGCGGTCTGCAGGCTACTGGTGTGCAGTTTGTAACGAGTTTCGAGTCCCCCCATTTGCTGTTGACTCTGATTGTGTTTCGTCTCCATTGTTTTGCTCGGGTGTCATGGCGTCGTTGGACAAGTGCGACACATGTTGTTCAATGGCGCTTCCTCCTGCTCTCAACTATCCTGATGTGATGCCAGTTGTGTCCTTGCATTTGCCGCCTCTAGGTTGCATCACTGCGTGGTGCACTTCGTCCAAAGGTGAAAGGTGGGATTTGGTGGTAGGTGCGGTTTGTGGCGTGGTCTCGCGCGCCTGGCGCCAGCTATTGCAGTGCAAGGTCGGTGCAATCGCTCGCAGAAAATAACGAGAACGTCTGCGGTGCCCTGCCGGTCTATCTCGGTGTCGCCGTCGTCTCTGGTCTTTGCCTGCATCTTGCCATCGCTCGGGCGTCCACTCCCCGTGCATATTTCGACTTCGTGCGCGTAGCAGGACGATCCAAGAAAGATGCTCCTCGATGGTCCTCACCCCAAAAAAGTGCACACGCCCAAGCGGTGCAAAGTGAAAGCCTCTATGTGCAAGCACTGTTTAGGGGAAACCGTCAGAGGTCCGCGCGGACTTCTCGGGGGTCAGCCAGCGCAGGGCCTCTCTCCCCCGGGTGCGCGGCCGTGCGCACGCGGCGGCACGGGGCGGCACCGCCAGAGGGATGCCCAGCCCCGCGCTGCGGAAGCAGCGTGGACCTCCGACTGACTGTTTTTTGGCGGGGCGGGGGCATACACAGATCCAGCGCCCAGGGAAGACCACTCCCTGTGACCGCAGTGGGTGGCAGATGTGGGTCTACTCCTGGCCCCAAGGGGGCCCGAAAGTATTCACGTGATCCAGGTGGTGGTCGTGGATAAATCCCCCCCCGTCGGATCTGTGTCTGTGCAGACGTGCTTTGCCCCTGGAGCGCCGTGCTCGTCTTGCCCGCCCCGGGGGGGCCCTGCACCAGCGTCAGCCGCCGCGAGAGCGCGGCCTCCAGGGCCTCTCGGGTCCGACGAAGGGGTGCGGGGCGGGGGCTGTGTCGAGGTCGAGGTCGTCGTCGTCGCCGTCGCCGTCGCCGTCGCCGTCGCCGTCGCCGTCGCCGTCGTCGTCGTCGTCGTCGTCGTCGTCGTCGTCGTCGTCGTCGTCGTCGTCGTCGTCGTCGTCGTCGTCGTCGTCGTCGTCGTCGCGTGGGGGGCTGGGTTCGCGAATCAGTAAGACCAAGCCAGGACGGGCATAACATCGGGTGAAATAAATCGACCTTCTCTGAGATCCGGTGGATTTAGAAGATGTCTCGGGCGCCGCAGCCTTCTCAGAGCGTTCCGGAACGCGTTCCGGAACGCTCTGAGAAAGTTCCAGGACACTCAAGAACGAACTTGTCCTCGTCCAAGCCCCGTCCTCATCAGCTCACGCATCTGGTTTCCCTGGTGCCGTCTGGCGCCAGAGGCGCCCATGTACCGAGAGAAATTCCTGTCCGCGCCGGAATCTGCTGTTCGCAGCAGATTTAAGCTTCGTCCAAGGAAACTGGAAGCACAGATGGCTGGAGTCGCATGCGGAGCCACCTGCTGCATACACATGCGGAGGATCGCTGGTCCTAGCCATCCATACGAGAGCCGGGCGCTGGAATGACGCCTGGCCGCCCACATGTGCATCCATCTCTCGCCTATGTCGGCCACATGCCACGCCGTGTGAGTGTGTGCCTGGCTCTCTGGTAACTGAGCCCCCAATTCCCCAATCCCCCAGGGGAGGAGGAGGAGAAGGAGGAGGAGAAGGAGGAGGAGGAGGAGGGGGAGCAGGAGGAGGAGGAGGAGGAGGAGGAGGAGGAGGAGGAGGAGGAGGAGGAGGAGGAGGAGGAGGATAAGGTCCCCCCGTCTCGTCCGACCCGAGCCTTGCACTGGGACTCGTTGGCCTTGGCGAGCACGGAAGCGACGGGCGGGCACCTCCCCGTCGGGGGCGGGCACGCGCAGAGGTCCGCCACCTTGTGGAATCCGTCCTCCTCCTCGGCGGCCATCAGCACGAGGCTCAGCCAGTCGAGACCGCCAGGGTCGTTGGTGAGCTTGTGCAGCGCGGTGATCTGGCGGACATAGGTCACGTGGTTTGCCGCCCGGTCGACCCTGCAGGTCTGCCCGAAGGTCGGGTGCTGCTCGAGGTGCCCCTTGGCCCCAAGGTGCCCCCCTAGGATTTCCGAGGCTGCCACCCAGGGCTCCAGAGCACCACGAGGCCCAGAGGGCCACATGAGGCTCTAAGATGCAACGAAAAGCCGGGGGCACGTTGGGCCATGCAGGGGAACCTTCAGCAGCCCCCGAGATGAGGCTCTGCGCCACGCCTTGCCCTTCGCCCACGACCTTGATGTTCAGGCCCTCCGCGGGCCAAGCCCTGCCGAGGATCTCGGCCTCGCGCGTTTTTTGGGCTCACCATCCGGAGGGAGGCCGTCGACGAGAGCGGGGACGAACAGAGCGCGGAGAAGCCGGAGAAGGAGGAGGGGGAGGAGGAGGAGGAGGCTGAGGAGGAGGAGGAGGAGGACGAGGAGGAGTATGAGTATGAGTATGAGTATGAGTATGAGTATGAGTAGGAGTAGGAGGAGGAGGAGGAGGAGGAGGAGGAGGAGGAGGAGGAGGAGGAGGACAGAAGGGAAGCCGCGCGCCCGGCGAGCACGCGGGACAGCGGCTGCTCAAAGCACGAACGATCCCACTGGCCCTTTAGGGCGTAGGTGGCCTGACGATGCTGGTTTCCTCTTCCAAGACCCCTCTTCCCTTCGGGGAGTTGTACCGTCCTCACCCCTACCTGAGTTTTTCAGAGCGCCCAAGATGGCTCAAGATGGATCCAAGGGGGCCCCCGACGCTCCAAGATGGCCTCCAAGAAGCCGAACATGGTTCAAAATGGATACATGCCCCAGAGGCCCCAAGAGGACCACAAGACGGCAACAAGCGCTCGATGAATTCCCTCAGGACTCCTTCAAAAACCTACGGAACATCAACGACTTGTGCCTTATAGCCTTTTCGCTTCTGTTGCGGTTTTCAAGATCAAGATGGCCCCAACATGGTCCAAGAGCACTCTGAGAGAGCCCAAGATGCCACCAAAACAGCCACAGGACCGCCCAAGAGCGCCCCGAGAGGGCCGCAAGAGGACCCCAAGAAGGCCACAAGCGACGGCCAGGGGGGTCGGGGGGCAACATTGGGGAACCCATTCTTTTTGATCGGCACCCTCCCAGATGACCCCAAGAGGCCTCCAGGGCCCGCAAGAGGCCGCTAAGAGAGCTCCGAAGGAGTTCCAAGACCCTCCAAAGTAGCCCCAAGAGGGCACCACGAGGGTCGCGAGAGCCCAAGATGACCCTAAGAGGGCCTCCAGGCAGCCTCAAACGGCTCTCAGAGTCTCCGTCCGCTCGTCTTGGTCCTCTTCCTCCTCGCCCTCGTCTTCCTGCTCGTCCTCTTCCTCGCCCTCCTCTTCGTCATCCTTCTCTGCCTCCTCCTCCTCCTCCTCCTCGTCCTCATGCTCGTCCGCATCCACGTTCTCGTCATCGTCGTGGTGCTGGTCAGGCGGATCCAACATGTTTCCAGTGTCTGCTTTTACACTGTCCTGTTCAGGGCAACTCGCCTGGGCCCCGTTTCTGGACGGGCTGATGGGGATACGTGAGGCGTGCAGAACGTTGTGTGTGTGTGTGTGTGTCTGTGTGTGTATGTGTGCTTGTGCAGATGCGTTTGCCCGGGGAAGAGACAGCACAAGGGAGGAACGCATAACTGCTGGGCTTCGGCCTCGTAGCTTGCGCTGCGGCCGTTCTCCTCGTCCACTCGCACCTGGTTGGTGTGCGGCGTCGTGACCAGGATCCAGTCGCCCTTGAAGAAGCTCGACCCGCGGGGCAGCTCGCCGCTGGAGGGCACCAGCTTCAGCTCATTCGGGGCCATGCCCTTGTCGGGTCCGCTGATGGTCATCTCTCGGATGCACGTGCCGTTGCGCTCCAAGGTCTGTGGGACGACCGACCGAGCCTGCTCCGCACAGCTGACGGCCTCCGCGATGAACTCCCGCATCGCCCACGTGCCGAAGCGGCAGAAGTACGAGGCAGAGGCCGCATTGGGAAAATTGACGACGCCGCACTCCAGGATGCCTCGCATGAAGCGCTGCGCAGCCGCGTCCTTGGTGCGGACCCCGATGGATGTTAGGCAGTCTGCGAGGTGTTTCATCTTCATCACCTTGGGAATCTGAACGGCCTGTGCGACGGCGAGGGCCTCGTCAGCCTGGCCTCTGCGCAACAACGCGATCATTCGGCTGGCCTGTGGCTGAAAGTCGTATGCCTCCTCGATGGGCATGCCCTGTAAGACCCCGGTGACATTGCCTGAAGGAAGCCTCGCACCGCCCACACCGCCGCCCATCAGCAGCGATGCCGAGCCCGCAATTGCCCAGGCGGGCCCAGCGCTACCGGCTTTAAGATCCGAGGACTTGGTGAGGCGAATGCCCATCGCCTGCATCCTGTCCACGCAGTCCTTCTGTTCCTCCTCCTCCTCCTCCTCCTCCTCCTCCTCCTCCTCCTCCTCCCCCTCCCCCCCCCCCCTCCCTCCTCCCCTCCTCCTCCTCCTCATCCTCCTCCTCCTCCTCCTCCCCCTCCTCCTTTACCTAACCCCTCTCATCATCCTCCTCCTCGCTCCTCCTCCTCCTGCATTTTCCCCTCCGCAAGCCGTGCGGAATCTGGAGAGAGCTTCCGAAAACGCCTGAACACTCCCCTTCCCCAAACTCCCCAGACCTCCGACGTGGTTTCGCTTTTCCACAGCGTGAAACCGCACGAGATCGAGGCCCCTCTCCCACGAGACAGCCTTTTCTTCCCGAGTCGGTCTCTGACGATCCTGGGGCCCAGCGAGGCCCCCCGAAAGCATGACATGGGCATGAGACTCCCGTCGTGTTTCTCTCGCGATGTGAGGAGGTACAGCCTGGCTGCTGAAAGAAGAAACCCTGAATAAGGCACGAACCACCTTTGTTCGCACCAGAAGAGCCTGGGCTTAGCGGGCCCTGGAAACGACAGGGCCGTTTTGTTACCAGTTCCGTTTTGCAATTTTGTGCCGGTTCCGACGCCGTTTTTTCACTGGTTCCGTCCCTGTTTTTTGACCCGTTCCAGCTCCAGTTCCTATCCTGGAGCCGTTTTTGTTGCCGTTTCCGGTCGCCGTTTTTTTTGCCGCTTCCATTTTCAAGGGGCATTTTTGTGGAAACGGTGAAAAACGGGCCTTGCCATTTCCGGGGCCCACAAAGAGCTTGGGTGCACGAGGAGAGTCAAAGTATAGGACAGCCATGGAAGGACTGGAGGAACATCGAGCCCCTTCCGAATCCAAACTGTCCCCTACAATCAAGACGTGTATCAAGGACGGGTGGTGCGGACGCAAAGCCCTGGGAGGCCGAATTTGGGACCTGTGGGCCGGCGGGCGACCCGTGCAAACGCCAGAGGACGGGTCGCAGAGGCAAGGACGCAAGGGCACCCTGGATGAGGGCGCGCGTGCGTGCCAGGCGCGCTGCCTGCAGTTCCGCGTCTTGGCTGCAGGGGGCCCCTCCTCCCCCCCTCTCCCCCCCGCCGCCGTCCTTCGCGGCTGCGGACTTGGCGGCCTTCTTGCTGGAGCCCTCGCCCCGGGCCTCTCCGATGCCCGGCAGGTAGAGGATGCAGAGCCAGCCCGGCTCCTGCCTGCCCTTCTCCTCGTGCAGGGGGAGCACAAAGCCAGACCACCGTGCTCTCTCTCCCTCGAGCCTCGATCCTGCCCCCCTCCATCCCCGGCCGCCTCGAGCTTCGATCCTCCGCCTCCCCCGTGGAGCCTCGATGCACGCCTTGAAGGAACTCACGGCGGGCTCCGATCGGCAGTGCCCGGCCTCCGGGAGCCACGGACTCCAGGCCGGAGGACACAAAACAACGGAACGGCTCGGGGTGCAGGGCTGCTCCTGGGGAAAGGGATCTGGACCTCGGGGGGCCCACGCCAGAAGCAAAAAAAGCACGAAGCCGGAGATGTGTGAAGTTCCGAGGTCCACGACCCCCCGCAGACGCGGACAGGCGAGGGACTGCTCCCCAAAAAGGTGCGACGTCCTGCCCTTTTCAAGACGGCGCCCCTGGAAGTCCCGGCCCTTTATCCCCTGGACCAGTTTTTCGTCCCGCGTCGATTATTGACGGTCCCGAGGCCCAAGGCCCCCCAGGGCCGAAAATAGCCAAAAACCTCCCGTCCTGATTTTTTGAAGACGCGATCATGTCTGGGGCGAGGGACTGCTCTGGGCCTGAAGAGCACAAACGTCGGCAACCCGCCACGGACGCCAGTTGTTGCACGAAGCGCGCCTTCTACGCAGCGGCGCAGCGCGGGCACGCACACGGGAGGACAGCGACGCCCTTCGTGGCCACCCACACCAGGGATCGTCCTCAACAGTGCTTCTCGTTCTCGTTTTTGATTTTAGTTTTTTTTACTTTCGTCTTCCCTCATTGTGATCTTTTTTATTTTCCCGTTCTCGTTCTCGTTTTTTTACTTTCGTCTTCCATCGCTGTGATCTTCTATCCGCCTTCGCTGCAACACGGCATCGAAGCGAAAACGGCCCACGAAAGCGCCAAAACACCGCTCATGAGCATCGTTCAACCGATCCCTATCCCCCCTGGCGTGGCCTGGGCCCCACTGGCCGACTTGCCCCCGAGATGGGGACGTGGGCGGCTCCCTCCGGGCTTCGAGGGGATGGGAATGGGGATAGGGATCGGTGAAACGATGCTGATCGGGGGCCACATGCGGGCCCTGCCCCTACCCCCCACGATTTCTGAGGGGGAATTCGTCGGGGGGTAGTGGGGGGTAGGGGTCTTGGCCGAGTTTAGGCCGACTCCTTACTGAGTTTGGGCCGACTCCTAACTGAGTTTAGGCCGACTCCTGACTGAATTTAGGCCACCTAACTGAGTTTAGGCCGACTCCTGACTCCCCGAGCCGTGTGGCCCCCTAATTGAGTCTAGGCCGACCCCCGACCCACACCTCCGCTGGAGCGCGGCCAGCCGCCCGCACCGGTGCCCAGAGGCCTGGCGGCAACGCCACGCCGCACGATGGGCCAGTGTTCCACCACCACTACCACAGGCAGGGCGGGCTAGAAGGGAGGATGGGGAGGTCCTACTCCTCCTCCTCCTCCTCCTCCTCCTCCTCCTCCTCCTCCTGCCTCCTCCTTCTCCTCCTCCTCCTCCGCCTGCTTCTCCTTCTCCTCCTCCTCCTCCTTCTCCTCCTCCTCCTCCTCCTCCTCCTCCTCCCCCTTCCACTTCTGCCTATGGTATAGTGGTGGTGGAGAACCGGCCCATCGTCGCGTCCACGGCGCGCTGGCGGACCGCGGCCCCCGCGCTGGCGGACCCACTCCCGGCAGGGGGGCGAATCCACCCCCGACAGGATCGCGTTGTGCTCTTCAGGCCCAGAGCAGTCCCTCACCCCCGACAGGATCGCGCCGTGAAGCAAAAAGAAGCAAGGCGGCGAGTTTTTTTGGCTACCTTCGGCCGAGGGGGGGGGGCCTCGCCGGGCCTCGGGGCCGCCAGAAGAACGGCTCAGGACGAGAGGCCGGTGCCCGGGAAGGGGTCGGGACCTCCAGGGGCGCCGTATCCCGAAAACATCCAGACGTCTCCTGTCTGGGGCCCGTGCCCAGCGCGCCCGGGACCGCCAGCGTCACCACCGAGCGCTTCCACCGCTTCACCGCCCGCCCGCGCGCGTCGGGGTCCCCGCGCGGGCCGCCGCGGAAGGAGCATCGGCAAGACAATCGCTGGCAATGCCTATGCCCAGGCCGGGCGACACCGTGGGGCCCTCAGCAGGCCCCAGTCCTTTGATGCGCCGGAAGGGGTTGTTGGCGCATCGCGGCCCGGGGCCCGTGCGCCGTCGAAGCGGGGGGGGGAGGGTGTATTGAAAAGCGGAGAAAGACCATGCCATCTGACAGATTTCATGGTCCCAGCAATGGCCACACCCCCTGGCCCGCGAGCACCCCAGGGCCTCTGCATGTCCCGGGCAAGCCAGCACGCGTGCGACGCGAGCGGCATTTCCGTGGGGCCGAAGCCCCCTTAACCCGATTGGCTGCGAATCGTTCGTTTGATTCAACATATGGGCCCCGTCATGGGTCCAAGGCGACCCATGGAACATCTAGTGGTTGTGTCCTGGCTCTAGACCCTGGGACACACCCCGTGCCGACCGAATACCGAAACGTTGATGCGACTTCGATTTCCTGCCCCTCTGTTGCCCCCGTCCCTCCCTGTCGTGCCATATGACCGTCTCGCTCCAATCGAAGGTGGGCCTGATCTTCTTCTGCTCGCAGTAGCCGTTGAGGAGGTCCAGCGCAGGGGCCACGGGCGCCTTGCCGCCAGCCTTGCCGCAGCCATCTCCTTTGCCCTTGCCGCCCCCTCCCTTGCCCATCTGCCCGCCCGCATCGACCGGGCCACGCTGGCCGCTGGTAGCCAAGAGGTACTTGACCACCCCAGAACTCCTTCCCCAGACCCCCGACGTAATGATTTTTTCATTACGTCGACCCCCAGAGGTCCCGACCCTTTCCCTATGACCAGCTTTGCATCCTGAGTCGTTTTTTGACGCTCCCGAGGGCCGGTAAGGGCCCCCAGAGGCCGAACATAACCAAAAACCTCCCGTCATGATTTTTTCACTACCCGAGGGGGTCTGGGTCTGCGTCGTGAAGAAAATCACGACGGGCGCCTTGCGCGAGTCTCCGCCGCAAGTTTCGCATCGGGGCTCCGTCGCTGGGCTTCATGGCCGTCGACGAACGACCCAGGATGGAAAGCTGGTCCCTGGAACGGGTCTGGATCCCTGGGGGGAGCCCACGGGGAGGAGGAGGAGGAGGAGGAGGAGGAGGAGGAGGAGGAGGAGGAGGAGGAGGAGGAGGAGGAGGAGGAGGTCTGGGACCTCCACCGCCGGGTCCAGGGAGTGAGGCCCCGATCGGTGGTTACCCCATCCACCGGCAGGCTGGCCACCGCAGCGTCGCTGCCTCTGGACTCCGGAGGCGTAGAGGAAAGAGAACTATGCACATACACCGATTCTGGCCAGGCCCATCCTGAGCCCGGGATCGGTGCATACGCCCTCCTACCTTGGCCAGGAAGGCATATGCACCGATCCTGGGTCAAGGATGGACCTTGCCAGGATCGGTGCATGTGCATAGTTCTCTTCGCCCGAAGGCGGCGGAGGTGGTCAAGAGCTTCTTGACGACCCGGGGAGGTCAGTGGCTGGAGCCGACACGGCTGCGAGAGCGGGGACCGGGCGAGCGAGCGGGCGCACGCCGCGGCCACGCGTGCGACCCCGCTGCCCGACGCGGGCCTCACGGCGCACTGCCTGTGCAGAGTGGGCGCGGCGGCTGAAAGCGTGCTGCGGCGCGTGCGGTGGCGACTGCGATGTCTTCGGCGAGGTGGCCGCTGGCGGCACCCCTGCACGACCCGACCACGATCCCTACTGCTGCTGCTGCTGATCCTGCTGCGCACCTTCGGCGATTGTCGGTGGAGCTCCCCGCCTTAAGCGAACGTCCTGCACGTCGCAGAGGGCCACAGTGGTACCGCCTGCGCCGCCGGCGGTGCCCCCCCCCCCCGTCGCGGAGAATGGCGTGGCGAATGTGGTCAGCAAGCGCGCCTCTTTGGTGATCTCTCTTGATACGGACGCGAGGGGGGGCCCAGTGGTGCAAGCGGGCGTGGAAGAGCGCACGAAGCTTCGGCCAATGTTGAATCTGCCCGCCGTGAGGGGCGCCTATTAGTTGGCAAAGGTGCGGAGACACTCCTGGAACAGCGAGGGTGCTCCTTCAACGAGGCAAATTACCGCAACGAGGCGACTCCCACAATCGCCACCGGGGAACATGGTCCGGAGGGAAGCGGTTTCCAGGACCCTGGTGCGTCCCCCAAGGCGGGGCGGACCTCAAACGTTTCTGTTTGCGCAAGTACACCCTGCGAAATGCTTAAGAAATCATGGGTTAAGAAATTCAGAGTCTCGGAACTTGAATAAAAACCCACAAATTCCATTCAAACCTTAGGATTTACCTTGAAATATTAAGAATAATCGAGACTCTGGCCGAAAAATTAAGCTCTCTTAAGCATCGCCTAAGGTGTATGTGGGGTGTTCCAGAAGCGGCCTTGCCTTCGAGGGTCGGAAGAGCTGCCATCTCCTCCTCGACGGCAGGGCGGCGGAAGAGCCGGCGGAAATCAGACAGGGGCGCCTCCGCCAGCGGAAGCCGGCAGAAGGTCGGCGGACGGGTGCAAAGTAATAGGTGTGCCCCCGAGAGATGAAGGGGCCCCAGGACACACAAATAAATACACACAAATAAAAAGATTCCCCATATTTTCCCATATTTTCTGGGTTTCTGTCTTCCCCACCACTTCCCATATTTTCCCATATTTTCTGGGAAATCGAAGATTAATTGTGTCTGTGTGTTTCTTTTCCTCCTGAGAAATCGCCCACGTAAACGCAATCCGTTTTCCCTCATCGAGGCAAACATACCCGTATCCTGGGCCTGGACCCCCGCGCCGCGCTCCCGTGGAGGCGGGGGCGGCCTCGCGCGGGGGGGGTCCCGCGCGGAGCTGGCCCATGGGAGCGCGCGGAGTCCGCGAGATCGCGCCCGTGTGTCCAGCCCGCCAGGGCAAAACGAACGACCCGCACCCATGTCCATAGGGGGATCGGCGGGAGGAGGACTGGCTATGGGTATGGGTACCGGCTATCCGAACGCGGGGGAGGCTCCCATTCGAGCGGGGACTCCCATCCGACAACACGCACCCCATAGCCCCCTCCGTCCCCACTATGGCTATGGCTGCGCTGTTCGTTCGTCATCTCTGTGCAAGCAGCTTGTCTGCAAGAAGTCCACCTGTGTATTTATGTATGTTCACGCACGTGTTGTCTCCCTCGCCCGGTGAGGGACCCCGGGCCCGAAAGCGGTGGCAGCCGTGGCCCCCTTCTCCTGGACTGCGCAGGGCTGCTTAGGGTCTTCTGCCACAGCACCTGACACCCGCACACTTGTTTTTGGTTCATTTCCATTTTTCCCAACCAACCTGTGTTGTTGGGTCCTCGTTTTGAAGAGACGGTCACCGCGTCTCCTCCTCCTTCCTCCTCCCTCCTCCCCTCCTCTCATCATCATCATCATCATCATCATCATCATCATCATCATCATCATCATCATCATCATCATCATCATCATCATCATCATCATCATCATCATCATCATCAGTCATCGTCATCGTCATCATCGTCATCGTCATCGTCATCGTCATCATCATCTCATCGTCATCGTCATCGTCATCGTCATCGTCATCGTCATCGTCATCGTCATCGTCATCGTCATCGTCATCGTCATCGTCATCGTCATCGTCATCGTCATCGTCATCGTCATCGTCGTCATCATCATCATCATCATCATCATCATCATCATCATCATCATCAACATCATCAACATCATCACACGTTTCGTTGCCCCATAGGGAGCTCCACCGAATGTCCCAATGTCGCGGTTGGCATGCGTTTTCTCCCCAGTACAGCGTTTCGTGGCCCCACAGGGAGCGCCACCGAAGGTCCCCGTGGCGCAGTCCGCATGCGTCTCCCCCACCCAGGACAGCGTTTCGTGGCCCCATGGGGGTTCCGCCGAAGGTCCCCCCAGTGGCACAGTCCGCATGCGTCCCCGCCACTCATTTCGGCACACCCCTCACACGTTTCGTGGCCCCATAGGAGCTCCGCCGAAAGTTCCCGTGGCACAGTCCGCATGCGTCCCCGCCACTCATTTCGGCACACCCCTCACACGTTTCGTGGCCCCATAGGAGCTCCGCCGAAGGTCCTAGTGGCACTCTGCCGACGGTCCCAGTGGCACAGTCCGCATGCGTCCCCGCCGCTCATTTCGGCACACCCCTCATACGTTTCGTGGCACCATAAGAGCTCCGCCGAAGGTCCCAGTGGCACAGTCCGCATGCGTCCCCGCCGCTCATTTCGGCACACCCCTCACACGTTTCGTGGCCCCATAGGAGCTCCGCCGAAAGTCCCAGAAGCACAGTCCGCATTCGTCCCCGCCACTTATTTCGGCACACCCCACACGATTCGAACCCAAAGGAGCTCCGCCGAAGGTCCCCGTGGCACAGTCCGCATGCGTCCCCGCCACTCATTTCGGCACACCTTCACACGTTTCGTGACACCATAGGAGCTCCGCCGAAGGTCCCCGTGGCACAGTCCGCATGCGCCCCGCCCCACTCATTCGGCACACCCCTCACACGTTTCGTGGCCCCATAGGAGCTCCGCCGAAGGTCCCAGTGCACAGTCCGCATGCGTCCCCGCCACTCATTTCGGCACACCCCTCACACGTTCGTGGCCCCATAGGAGCTCCGCCGAAGGTCCCCGTGGCACAATCCGCATGCGTCCCGCGCATGTGGCCCATAGGAGCTCCGCCGAAGTCCCCGTGGCACAGTCTGCATGCGTCCCCGCCACTCATTCGGCACACCCCTCACACGTTTCGTGGCCCCATAGGAGCTCCGCCGAAGGTCCCAGTGGCACAGTCCGCATGCGTCCCCGCCACTCATTTCGGCACACCTTCACACGTTTCGTGGCCCCATAGGAGCTCCGCCGAAGGTCCCCGTGGCACAGTCCGCATGCGTCCCCGCCACTCATTTCGGCACACCCCTCACACGTTTCGTGGCCCCATAGGAGCTCCGCCGAAGGTCCCAGTGGCAGAGTCCGCATGCAACCCCGCCGCTCATTTCGGCACACCCCTCACACGCTTCGTGGCCCCATAGGAGCTCCGCCGAAGGTCCCAGTGGCAGAGTCCGCATGCAACCCCGCCATTCATTTCGGCCCATCCCTCACACGTTGCGGACTCACATCTGCATATGGTTGGGTCCTTTGTACAGAAAAAACAGCACAATCCGTTGCCCCAGAGGTCCCGACCGCTTCCCCAGGGGTAGTTTTTGGTCTCGGAGCCATTTCTGATAGCCCTGCGGCGCTCCCTACCGGCCCTCAAAGAAGCCTGAGCTGGATCTGGGACGAAAGCGCCCGGTGACAAAACCATGCCGTTGGAGGTCTTGGAGGGTGCCATCCGTTCTGCGATCATCCCACAGCCTTGGCTGCTCCTCTTCAGGCAGGGGGGGATAAGCGGTCGCGTCCGCTGCCACCCCCGCCCTGCGGCGCGCCGCTCGCCGCTCGTGCCGCCCACGTCGTACACCCGCCTCTGCATCAGGGCGACGGTGTCGGCCTGGCCCGCGCGAGCCAACAGTGATCCCCCTGTCTGCAACGGCAAAGCAGGCGCTGCTTCATGAGAGGCACTGAGTGGGGAGAAGAAGACAGGTGCACCTTTGGTGCACCTTCGGGGCACCAGGGGGCGGCCCATTTCGAGGCCCCTGTACTGCGACCCCAGAATCCCCCCCCTATCCCATCGCCCCCCACTGCGAAACGCAGGGGGCGTGTTTTGAGGGGCGGTGCGTCCAGGGGGGGGGGGCTCGCAAATCATGCCCCGAGGCACGTGCGCGGTCAGGGGTGATCGGTGCTCGGCTAGCGGTGTGCACTTGTACACCGCAAGGCAGTTGGTGGCCGGCCACCCCCCGCCGTGTGGAAACACCCCGCAGGGCCAACGAGGTCGGCGGCGGCGCAGGGGCGAGTTGCCCCGCAGGACGTGGCCCCGGGGGAGCGGGCCGCAGCCCGCAGAGGCAGCAAGGGGAGAGCCAAACGGGTGACCCGCGGGCCGCGGCGAGCACGCGGAGGAGGAGGAGGAGGATGATGATGAGGAGGAGGAGGAGGAGGAGGAGGAGGTTTTCAACATTCTCCTGAGGAGGAGGAGGCGGAGGAGGAGGTTTTTAACATTCTCCTCCGTTGGCGACCTCTGTGGGGCAACCAGAACAAAAACCTTTGGCGATGGCTGACACCGAACGGAGACCAGCAAACCCAGGCCAAAACCCAATCGGAGTCGGAAGAAAACCCCGAACGAATGTGGGCAGCTTGTGCGAGTGGTCTGGTGTCCTCCTCTACACGCCGACTGCCTATTACTACTTGCAAGGCCACGCTCTCGGAGGACGAGGAGGAGGAAGAGAAGCAAATGGCTGCGGCTGCAAGGGGGGAGGAGGCAAGGGTAGGAGAAGGGATGGGGTGAGGAAGGGAAGTACCGCACGAAAAGGCGACGCCCCAGAAAGCTTTCGGCGGTCAGGCAGCGGCGCCTTTCGTGCTGGCGATGTTTGCAGTCTTTCTCTGGCTCATGCGGTGGGTGACACCGCAGTACAGAAGACCATGTGTCACCATTCGCACTCCAGAGCGCAGGATTCCCATTGGCTTGGTTTGGCATGGCTCGGCAGGCGTGTCAGCCAAGTCGAACGTGTAAGAAGGTAGAGCGAGTGGCCCACGGAACCTCCTTCTCAGCCGCACCCATTCCAGGCGAGGAGGAGAGGGGGAGAGAGAGGCGGCGGAGGCGCAGCCGTGCCCACCTCCCTGGGCCGTCTTGGGGCCCTCTTGGGCTGTCTTGGGGCACTCTTGGGGCCGTCTTCGGGCGATCTCGGGGGCCTCGTGGGCCGTCTTGGAGCGTCGGGAAGCCGAAAAGGCAAGGAGCCAAAAACCTTCAAAAGCCGAAGGACCATGATATTTGTGCCTCTCGGGGCTCTCTTGGGGCGCCTCGCGAAACACTCTTGGGACGTCTTCGGGGCCTCTTGGGCCGTGTGATGGCGTATTGGGGCACTCTTGGGCTGTCTCGGGGGCATCTTCTGCTTTTGGGTGCTTTTTGGGCTCATGTTCTGCCGGCTGCGCTACCCAAGGACCGCGCGACACGCCCGGGGAATCCCAAAAAATCCAAAGAAATTTCGGGGAGTCCCAAGAAATCCCTGGAAATCCTGGGGAATCCCGTGGAAGTCACAGAACCCCCTGGAAATCCTTGTGAAACTGATGGGCCGGGCCAGTACAACTTTTTGAAACCCAACAGATCTGTACTTCTCAGGCCTGCATGAGCGTTGGGACACTCCACTACGCTGCAGGCACGGTGGCGGATCGTTTGACGAATCTCCTTCCCCACTGGCATGGTATTGACCCATTGGCCAGTTCACCCCCCTGAAAGGACATATATGCTGTTCCCTCTCTTGGTTTCGCGGGACCTTTCCCCGCCTGTGCGGGTGACTTGGTGGGGCTGAGATACTATGACCCGGTGGGGATGGGGATCGGTTAGACGATGCTGAACGACAATGCACCCGAACATTGGACGGCCTGGCGTGTTTTCTCAAGATAAAAATAGACGGTATCGCGCACACGACACCCGAGCGCCTGGCCCGAACCTAAACACTTATCACGTTCGGGCCACCTCGCCGCAGCCAGTGACTGGCTCCAACAAGCCGGCCGCCAAATACAGTTTGACGCGAATGCCCCCGCAAGCGCCCTCGGGCATCTGGTACGCTTCTCCCGCCAGAACCGCTCCGCTCGACCACGAAGACAGCGACGTCCGACTCGGCAGCAATGACAACGGCATGCCTTCGCCTATGTGCATGGTTCCGCCGAGCTGGGCTGGGCCGAGGTGGGGCGAGCTGGATTGACTGGGGCTTGAGTAGACTCAGCTGGGCTTAGCTGGGCGGGCGCGGACGTGGGCGGAGTCAGGCTCAGGTGGACCGAACTCCATCGGGGTGGCCCTGGCGGACCTGGGCTGAGGCACGCTGGGCCACCGAACTGGACCGAGCCCGACTGAACTGCTGAGATGGGGGGCGATGATCTAGGCTCGACGGATCTGGAATGGCAGGGACTGGGTTTCGCTAAGTTCCGCTTGACTGGGGTCAACCTGAAATGGGATGTGCTGAGACCGACTGCGCAGGCCTGGAGATGAATCAACTGGTATGCCTATCTCTTTTCGTCGTCGGATTCACTGGTGCCGCCTTCCATTTCCCCTTGCATATCCAACCACGGGTTCGAAACCGAGCGGCGCTCGGGATTCAGTGCCGATGATGAGACATCGGCGAAGAGGCCCTCACACGTGCATAAGATTGGGACTGAATGGCCGAGGACGGGTGAAACGGAATCCGAACACGTCGGGGCATGAACGAGAGGGTCTGCGTACAAGCAGGTGCGGCTATTGACGGGTCATACGAAGACTGGCCTGAACGTGCATCGGCCTGGGCCTGGGCTGGTCTGAGTATGAACGAGCCTGCGCGTGAAGCCAGCTGCTCCGAACGAGTCAGAGGGCCCCGACCATGCCCACCCTCCCATATCGGGGATGGACAGACCTCCCTTTAGTAAAACGTGGTTTAGTGAAAACGACCTCGGGCCCAAACCTGGCGGGCGCAAGCCTGGAAAATAACGGCCACGGCACCCTCTCGCGAACCGAAAACGGACAATTCACTAATCGACGTGTCACTGTTGGGGGTTCTGTCCACCCCCGACCATAACGTAACAACCATCGAGCGTCAACTTGGTCTTAGGATTGGAACGTGTTCCCACCTGGCGACACAACAAAAAAAACAACACTTGCGCGCGGTCCCGCTTCCGACGCCGTGGCGACGGGAAGCTGCGCGGGCCACGCAGGGGCGGGAACGGAAGCACTTCCGAGGAGCGCGGCGAAACCGACACAGCACCGCCACTCTCACGCGCAGGCTGCGTGGCGCTTGGGCGAGGTCGGCATGTCGGCCGCTCCCGCGCGGCTCGGCTGCCGCTATACCGCTTTCATGCGATGAAGCGAGCGAACCACGTGCCGCGCCCGCGTGATATCGCCACTTCCGGACACAATTCGTACGGAGGAGGAGGAGGAGGAGGAGGAGGAGGAGGAGGAGGAGGAGGAGGAGGAGGAGGAGGAGGAGGAGGAGGAGGAGGAGGAGGAGGGGGAGGATGAGGAGCGTGAGATCGCCGCTTCCGGAAGACGTTCGCGCGGAGCTTGGGCCAGGACGTCAAAAGCCGCCCCCTCGCGCGGCCCCCCAAAATAACCTGGCGAGTGAAAACCACCAGGCGCCGCGCCACGGCGGGGGCGCCACGTTCCGGGCGAAAACAAACTTTTTCGCTCGCTCGCGCGTCGACGGCGCTGCGTGAGAGAATGCCCGCCCGCCCCCCCCCCCCCCCCGCCCTCCTCCCTCCTCCTCCTCCTCCTCTCCTCCTCCTCCTCCTCCTCCTCCTCCTCCTCCCTCCCCCCCTCCCCCTCCCCCTCCCGGGAATTCGATTCTCTGAGAAAAAAAGAAACAGCGCGGCGCCGAGGCGAGAGCGAACATTCGCCCTTTCGTGGGGTGGGTGCGTCCCGTCCGGCTCCCGCCGCGCATTTTTCAGAGTGGGCGGCACAGTGTCCACACCGTAAGCAGCATGCCGACTCGGCCTTGCTTCAGACAAGCAAGACGACCCCCCCGCTTTGGTGTGCGATCGGCCCGGCTAGATACGAATAGGAACTAAGGATGAGCGGCTCGGAATGAGTGCTTGTTGGCATCAATTGGGCGCCGCTGGATAGCAGTGGGTCTGCGTATGACTGGGTCTGGGTGTTTTCTTTTTGGATGCGGTTGGGCCTGGGCGTGAGAAGACTCGAGCATGAGCGGGTCTGAGTATGAACGAGTCTGGAGTGGGTCAGGACATGAGTGAGCCTGGCTACGGATGATTGGGCATGGCTGGATATACGTGAGCGCGACCATGAGCATGCGCGAGCATTTGTGTGAACGGGTCTGAGTACGAGCTTCTGATTGTGAAGGAGTATGTGTATGAATTCTCCTTAATACCTTTCATGCAACACGGGCGTCTGTGCATCAGCGAGTATCGGTGTGAATGGATTTGGGTGTGCTTCCGCCTGAATGTGGGCGCACGGATGTGAGCGGGTATGAGCACGAACGAATCTCAGTATGATTGAGTATGGGCACGAGTAAGATAATTCTGGGGCCTCCACCGGCCATCTGAGCTTCTTTCGACCTTCTGGGGCCTTCTGGGCCCTTCGGGAGGCTCCTGCTCATGCGGCCTCCGGGCGCTTTCTGGCGACTCCTGCGGCCTTCAGGGACCAGCAAGGACCTCCACTAACGACCTCCGACCAGAAGGGGGACGGGCAGGAGAGGAAGGAGGAGGAGGAAGAGGGAGGGAGGGTGAAGGAGGAGTGAGGCGCACGGGGGAGGGGAGGAGGAGGAGGAGGAGGAGGGGAGGAGGAGGAGGAGGATGACGGGAGGAGGGGAGGGAGGAGGAGGAGGCAGGAGGAGGAGGAGGGAAAGGACAAGGAGGAGGAGGAGGAGGAGGGACACGAGGAGGAGGAGAAGACGGACGAGGAGGAGGAGGAGGAGGAGGTGGAGGAGGAGGAGGTGGAGGAGGAGGAGGAGGAGGAGGAGGACGAGGAGGAGGAGGAGGAGGAGGAGGGACACGAGGAGGAGGAGAAGACGGACGAGGAGGAGGAGGAGGAGGAGGAGGAGGAGGAGGAGGTGGAGGAGGAATGCGCCCATCGTGCTGCTTCGAAGGACGCCACATGGGGAATGAGCAGGGCGCTTCCAGCCACGGCGAGCCCTGGCCGTGCATCTGCTCCCCCAGTCTGGAGGTCACAGGCGGCCTCCCCCGAACCCTCAGGGGTCCAAGCTTCAGCGCCCTGCGTGTACTCCAGATTTCGTAATAAAAGGGAGGGGGGTTTCATTTCGGGGGGGGTCTCTTCCAAGCTATCTTGGATGGCCTGGGGGGGTCTGGGGACGGTGTTTTGGAGGGTTCTCCCACGGGGGAGGTCTGAAATGGCTTGTCTTGGAGGGTCCAGACCCCCTCCCTTTTATTCCGAAATCTGGAGTACCTTGTGACACCTTCTACGCACCGGACCTCCCGCTGCCCATGCCCCCAGACTTCCGACGCCGTGGCTCTGTCACAACGCGTCTCTACAGAGATCTGGACCCCTTCGTGGAGACCCGCTCTTCATGCCGAACGGCTCATGGACGATCCTGGGACCCGGCGGGGGCCCTCGGAGCCCCACAACTGATGCGAACCTCTGGTCGCGACTGTTCCAAGACGCGAGGATGTCAGGGTACTTCCAGCTCTCCCAGAAGGCTCCCACCGACCATGGGACTGGAATCCGAGCGGCTCTTGGAGAACCTGGAATCGGCACCGGTGGGCCTCCCGCTCTCGGTGTACCTCCAGCCCCCGCCCCCCGCCCCCCCGCCCCACAGTGCAGAAGCGGATGTGCGCGGCAGCGACGCCGGATATCCGATCCAGCGCGTGTCCACGCGAGACGGAGCCAGGCTGATGTCGGGCCTGTCCCCCTACAGGGGGATTTTCGACGAAAAATAAAAATATCCCCCAAATGAGCAAAAAATAATACAAAAACAGCCTGGGGACTATTTTGGGGGTACTTGTTGACCTCCTTGGGGCATTTTGGGGGTATTATTTTTTTGTTTTTCGTCGAAAATCCCCCTGTAGGGGGACAGGCCCGACTTAGAGCCAGGCTCGGCAGAAAACATCGCACGGGGATGCATCGGGGATCTCTCTTAGAGAGCCGGCGGGTCCGGGCGAGATGCCTCGGGCGCCGCGGCCGTTGCGCGTCCGGGAGCGCCCGGGGTCCATCTCCAGTGGGGGCCAGTCCACAAAGGAACTGCCCACAAGAAACCCAGCCCTGAGACCCTAGGGCGTTCATGGATTTCTGGTGTGGGAGCGTCGCGTGTTCCATCGCAGAACC